TGTTGTTCACGACGTTTCGGTCGTTGTACGCCTTCTTCAGGTGATATTTGTTGGGATTTCGGATCTAACTGGACCATGTGCCCTTAAGAACATTAGCGAGTAAATTTTTGTGTCACATAGTCAAGTGGGTAAAAGCGCTGGTTAATTGATCCAAAGTGACCTAACCCAAAGAGTGAGTTGTGAGTTCAATCCATGACCACAGCACAGAGATTAAAAACTTGGAGAATTAAGTTATCAAGGGAAATTAACTAAAACTGTGATATCCAAGGCATGGCATGTGGAATTAGAACAGTCTACTCGCGTGGACTAAATAAAAGGTTTGGTTTGAAATTCCAACACATGAAGAAGGCCATATCATACAACGACCAAAACGTCGTGAATATATTGCAATAAAGATGAGGACAACAGACATTTTGTGTCTGTTAATTTTAATGATCGACTTTTTCAAATGAGGAATTATCCCGTTAGGAATTATCCAAAGTTCTTCTTTAATAACATTTGCCTTAAAGAACATTCGCCCCCCCATACACATACAATATATGACAGGGGCCACAGTGCATTTCTTCTTTCGTCTGTATTCCTCAATATACTCCACATGCTCTTAACTGATTCTTCGAGTGTGCAGGCCCATAGATGTCGTACGCACCGTTTAGAGTAGATATGGGACGTCTATTTCAAATACAGGTAACTACTAAAATAATGTTATATATATATATATATATATATATATATATATATATATATTCCCCACTCTAGAAAAAGTCAGTAAAAGGCCGTACGTTTATTTATTGAGCTCTCATACATTTATCTTTTTTGGAAACTTGCCATTAACGCCGCAAAATCACGCTCCTGGGAAAAGAAAACGATACAATACATGCGTAAAGTGATTGGAATTTTTTTTTTTTTTAAATCCACCCCTTGTATCGAAGATGACGATTGCTGGAAATGCAGTAAGTTGAATCCGCAGAAAAGCAATCGTCATTGTGCAAAGGTCTCCGACGAAAGCGAAATATGTATAATTGGCATCTTAAAATAAGGGTCCCATTTAAAAAGCGAGAACCAACTTCGGCTCCACTGAAAAGGGCAAATGTTTCGCTCAATACAAAAATAATTAGTTCCCTGTACATCTCCACCCCCATGCTTGTTTACAGAAGGAGATTAAGATGTATATGAGGTTGGACGGTCGGCTGAAAAATGCTCATTGATTTTATACGATCGTTTGAATTTTATCATTCTGCTTGTTTCGTTCCTCCATTAGTTAATTACTTAGCGTGTGCAATACGCCCTGCCATTACCGCAGCCAATTAATGGACCATTCCGTTTTGATTGCGAGAAAATAAAGACGATATATCACAGACGCTGTTTGACTTTTAGTGAGAAAAATTAAACATTCATAGTAAGAACCAAAAAGAGCACGTCGACGTGGCGTAATGGTTAACAAGCTTGTCTCGCTAGTTTACGACTGAATAGCGAACTCGATCCTCACTGGGTGCCCCGTACTTTCAGCCTTGTGCCACGTCTAAGCTATAATAAGAAATAAAAGAGAGCGAGGAAGCGATAATGCTCTCATGCGTTTTATGTCTGATTCACTGAAATGGAAATTTGATTTTTTTTTTAAATTGTACCCTCTTACTTCTTTAAATAATAATCGGCATTCATACTTGTGATTGCCACTGAAGCATTTTGTTTAAATTATTAAGCACAAAGGTTTAGCCATACAATATGGGAAAATTTCCACAGGTATTTTAGAGTTATAAAACTCTTAACGAAATTATTCAATGACTAACGAAAGAATTATGATTGATGAGAAAATTCAAATCGGAAAATTGTGAAATTTTCACGGGGGGGGGGTGCTAGCGAAAATAAATTCTGACGTTTTCACTAAAAGTGCTTTTAAAAAAGTGGCTTTTCATCGATCCACAAATAGATCAAGAATAGATAGATAGATAGATAGATAGATAGATAGATAGATAGATAGATAGATAGAATAAACAGCTAGCCAGATAAATATAGATGTAGGGTGAGAAATAATTTCTCCCTCATATATATATATATATATATATATATATATATATATATATGAGGGAGAAATTATTATATATATATATATGTATGTATGTCTGTATGTATGGGAGGAAGTTGAGAATGATAATCCTTCCACGTATATATATATATATATATATATACGAGAAAGGTTATCCTTCTCAACTTCCTATATATATATATATGAAGAAATATAGTCTTAAGATGTGCTATATTTATGGGATAAAGTGCTCAATATCAGTAATAAAGCGTGTGTAAATATAAAAATGAACATAGAAGTCAATACTTAGAGACGACAGCCGCATGGCCTGAGGATTGCGTCTAGCATGAAACAGACTGTCGCCTCTAAGTGTCGATTTATATGTACACATTTATATACATACATATATATACATATATATGAACAAATATAGATTTAAAGTGTGGTATATTTACGGGATAAAGTGCTCAATATCAAGGGATAGAGCGTGTGTAAATATAATTATAAAAGTGAACATTAAAGTCAACACTAAGAGTCGACAGGCTGTTTCATGCTAGACGCAATCGACAAATCGGCGGCCTGACGATTCACTTTATATATATATATATATATATATATATATATATATATATATATATATATAATGTGTGTGTGTGTTTGTGTGTGTACACATAACCATTAATCAATGCATTCATACAAAACTATTTCTGATGGAACAGTGGTGAGTACATACCTTAGGTGTTCAGCCCTAGGATTGTCTTATAAATTCCAGAATCACTGTTCAAACTTTGAGTATCGAATCTCAAATGCCGGATTGAAATCGTTACGTCTGAAGAACAATGTGGAATTTTCTCTTTCTGATGTCAACAAGTTGAGGAACATGTTGAGCCATGATTTATTACTCGCCCAGTATGGGGGGCGGTGTGCGTGGGTGTGGATGTTTGCGTAATTGGTTGCAAATGGACAAAACGTCTAATCTGGACGTCGCAGTTTAGGCCAGGGTGATTAGATGCAATTGTGATAGAAGCGTCCACCAAGGACAAGGCGTATTGAAGAAAATTAGTCGTCATTAATTGCTTTCATTCTCTTTTTGTAAAAGAAACAAACAAAAAAAATTTGCCAGCGATATACACAAGAAAGAAATGGACGTTGCTCTCAGCGTTCTTCGAATTTCTTTAAGTCCAAGTTGACGTATTATTTTCCCATTAATATTATTATTATTATTATTATTATTATTATTATTATTATTATTATTATTATTATTATTATCAAAAGAATAACAGACAGAGACATTATTACTATACGATGGTCTTTGTTCCCATTGCATTTTCACACTAATAGTAACATTTTACCGGAGATTAAGTTTCTTTAGTATTCAAGTTGATTTTAGTAATACTATCTCCCGGATGGTTATTTTAGTAGTAGTAGTAGTAGTAGTAGCTTTTCCAGTTAAAAGATTTTTTTTTGTTTTCGTTTGTAGAAAGAAACTGAATCTCAAGAAAAATTCCATTTTACTTAAACATTTCCCTAGATACTATAAGAACGCCATCTTTTACAGAACTCTTACATAAGGGAAGGTACATAAAGCTATTCTTGGCATTTCCTGGGTTTCATGGGGACAATAGTGCCTCAAAAGTTACAGGCAGGACTTACAGTGCATCTAGGAGTGCATTTCCTAGAGTTCAATAATAATAATAATGAGTGACCTGATGTTACAAAAGGCCAAACTTTCTTGAGTTTTTAGCTTATATTTGATTGAAGGTGTTAATATGGGCAAACGAATAGGTCCTGGGTGAAATGGGAAGAAAAAAGTCAGTTCCTGGCGACGGTAAGGAAGCAAAAGCAGCATCACTTTGATAATGTTATCGGGGTGCAGAACCTCTGCACTCACAACCCGGTAGGGTTGCATCAATGGCAAGAGACTGAAGGAAAGACCAAGGAGATGCTGGATTGATGATATCAAATATTGGACAGGAAGATCCCTGGCGGAGCTCACGATCGTATAGATGGGGGTGATGAAAGGGGAGGGCATTAGTTCATTTGCCCATACCCTCTCTGGACTCTCAGCAATAAAGATTGGAAGATCAAGCAAGCAGATATGAACCAAGTTTCATCTTGATGAATTATGTTGGGTTACAGTAGTAAAAATACCGTTTAGTACAGCAGATTTGATTATCAGTTGCCTGACCTTAAACAACTGGGCGTGTCCCTTAGTGGGTGACGCACTGTGCATCTCTGTTCATGAGCGGGAGTAGTAGAGAAGCCTGACGAACGAGATAGTCAAAGCGTCGTAATTTAATTTGATTGCTTCGATTTCTACGGATTATCAATCCTTTACAGATTATTTAAAGCCAGAAAATATTTTTTAGATTGTAAGAATATTTTTTCATATAAGATAATGGTTTAGTGATGCAAGTCTTACTAATTAATCTATACCTTGGGGGGAGAAGAGGTTTGGTTTCGTTTGTTTTGTTTTACGGTATATCAACCTCAATGGATCATTTAATGCCGACAATTTTTTTTCTGCTAATATTTTTGTTTTGTCAAAAATCTATTTCTGTTAATATTTTTTCTTCAAAAACGTATTGCTGGTAATATTTTTTTTCTTCAAAAATTTATTTCTGGTAATAATTTTTTTACAAAGTATTTCTGGTATTAAAACCTATTTTTACACTTTTATAATGCTTTTTACCACAGTTTCGAAGTTAACTATTTGCCCATAGCTGGGACCCTAACAGGTGCTACCACCTCGGATCAGGGTGGACCTGATAACACCAGCAATTAAGAGGTGGTTCCACGCTTTTCAAAGCCTCCTGATCAGAGGCCTTGCTGTTGGACGTAGTTTATCGTCTTACCCCGGACGCGTGGAGAAGAGGTGGATTCATGCCTTTCTCAAGCGTATTTGCTCGTAGGTGTATATAACGAACGCAACGGGAATTGGTACTCGGCTCTCCGATTAACAATTCCGTATCCAAACTTACAACTTACTGGTATTCCCAAGCGGTCACCTATCTAGGTACCGACCAGGCTCGATGTTGCTTAACTTTAGTGATTGTACGTGAACTGGTATTTCAACATGATGTGATCGTAAGCCCCAATGAGGTATATGTAGATAATTCGAACAACATTCAATCGGAGACTGCCTTGCCCGACCACAAGGTATTACCAACCGGGGCGCAATTTGTCAGGTTATTCGATGCTGTTATCAAATTTTGGTACCATTTGGCTTTGGTGCATGTGCTCGATATATCTGACTAAGTGACATATTATAGATATACTGAGCGTATTATGTATTATTGTAGTTTTCACTGAAAAGAACATAATTATCTTATAAGCAAGATGATACCTTTTGATAGAATGTATTTCAGCGAAATAATTTAATAAAAACTACAAATATAAGGACCTATAAATAGTAGTTACAAGAATGGAATATTTAAACGCCATTTTTCGGTAATAGTAAAAGAATTAGGAATAATTAAAAAGATTTGTTCCTATATTAAGAAAATACCAGGAAATCAATTTTCATCTAAAATGGTAAAATAGAACGTAGTAGTTCTTCAAAAATTCCTTAAAGAATTCCTTTGTTTATCTTGGGTTTAAAGCAATGATTCCCAACGTGGAGTGCATGCTCCACCGGTGGGGCATGGTGATATTTTGGTGGGGCATGCGTAGGATGTGCCCCCTTTGGCTTCCTATACCAACAGATTAAGAGGGCAATTCAAGAATGAGTTATTAACAGTGAATTGTTTTCTAGTGAGCTCAAATTTCATTTTGCATTATTATTTCATGATTAAAATGATCAAAGTATATTACAGAATAAGCTTTGATTCAAATATTTTATATTTCTGCCTTTCAGTTCTCTATTATATGCTTTGAAACTATATATATTTAACTGTCTTTTTGTTTTCTTAATTTTTCTCTTTCATGGACGCCATTGTCTTTGGAGGCTTGTTTAGGGACCAAGTTAATGGTCTTTTAAGCTTCCTTCACGTGAATATTTGAATATGTAAGAGTTAAATATTACAGGGGGTGGGAGGCACCAGAATTTTAGAAATACCAAAGTGGGGCATGGCCAAAAATCGGTTTGGAACCACTGTTCTACTAAAGGGAAAGATTTAACAAATGTATAAACGACAAATTTAAAGAAATAACAAGTGTATGTCGAGAGCTACCAACTAAGAACTATGCAAGATACAGAATCTGTCAGAATAAAAGGGCTTCAAATCTCCTGAGAATTTGAGACTCTGACGGATCACCGAATCCAGACTCGTAGCCCGGATGTAGTTGCAATAAAAAGTCAGGGAAGTGTCCGATGGTGGATATTTGGTACAGATCAAAGAGTGAAAAGTTCACTAAAAGAAATCGAAAAGCCAGATAAGTCACTTGACCGTTCTTGAGAGGTGTACAACATAAAAGCGACAGTCGTACCAATTATTATCTGAAGCCGCGGATGCGGCCCGAAGAGCCTAGCAAAGATGTATGATGAAAATGGAAATTCGAAGAACAGTTCATACTATACATATAGTACTACCAAAATTAGAATACTGAGGAAAAGTCATGGAGGAGAAAAATATCTGATAGTACTGGCGTGAAAGGTCAACAAGTACAAATAATAATAATAATAACTTATCATGGTTGTATTTCTTTATGGCTTTGTCATGACTTCTTTTTTCAGTAATCTCCACACACATTATTTCTATAATAAACATTATTGGTTAGTATTCTTTTATGTAACGTGCCAGATTTGCTATAACTAAATACTTTTTGTATGTGTCTCTCAAAACGCATCATTTTCTTCACCAAAGTCAGATCCAGACAAAAGATGAAGTACTGCTGTCACATCTGGAATGAAGATGACCAATCTTCGTTTCCCAGCCTTGACTAGATTCAAAAAATGTTTTCCACCCTACAACCTCTTTCCCCAGAGACGCAACTTTGAAAGACTGTTGCTACTCTATTACTATTTCCATGGAAAATGTTCAGATGAGTTCCTATTCTTTACTTCCATCAGTTCAGACCTTTTCAGCTAAAACCCGACACTCTTCATATTCCATTTGTAAGAAAGAAGTTCTACTCAGACAGACACTACTTTGTAGAACAGACTCCCGCGTGGACGCTTCCCCGAACACTGCAATCTTAACCTCTTCAAGCTCAGGGTCAAGCGTTATCTATCCTCATCATCTTCACTTCCTACTTCCTCTTAATTTAGTAACCCTCTACTTTAAGTGGCTCTTGAGCCTGGTATTAAGCGAACATAAGTAAAAAGAAAAAACCAAGGGGATAATGAGTAAGTAGCGGGTGAAAATTATTTACATTATTCGGACTATTTCCTCATCTTTGTCGCCATATTTATTACAACGTGTTGACCGTTGTATGCTCCGACCTTCTTTAAGTGGTTGGAATGTCGAACTGAACCCTTTATTTCGCTCACTGGGGTAGACTGTTCTAGTTCCACGTGCCATGTTTAGTGGATGTCAGTTATCAGTTATCTCCTATTAATTTCCCTCTGAAAGTTCTCCACTGCCTTCTGTATTGAACTCACACTCTTCGGGTCCTGTCACTGGATCTAACTAACGCCATTATCCACTGTGTCATGTGTCCTTGAGGACATTAAACATGGCAGAACAGTCAGCGAAATAAAGGGTTCAGTCCGACATTCCAACCACCCGAAGAAGGCCGGAGCGTACAACGGCTGAAACGTTGTAATAAATATGACGGCAAAGATGAGGACAATAGTCCGAATAATGTAAATAATGTACATAATACCTCATCTCAGAAACATAGACAGATACTAACGGGTGAAAAGTTTGTCTCGTTTCATGCCAATAATTGAACTTATACCCATATGGAATGGTGCAAATGTCAAGGAAATATTTCAATAAATATATTCCTCTTATCATTGGAAAGCAGCATGCCAACAAGATATGGATGTTCAATATATGAAGTCCAATATACCCAGCATGACACCCAGTCGAATAATGGTATATCAGACTCATGTATCAAAATCAAACTTTACTGACCCCCAACTATGGGTTAAATATTAGAATCTGTATGTAGAAAAATATTATTATCGCCCCCAAAAAATCTTAATGTAATGTTCACTCGCAAAAAATAATTATTCTTTGGAAAAATATCCAACTAATTATGGTCAAACAACTGACTTACCCCAGCTCCGGGTTAAATAGTAAAACTTGTATCTATCGTTATCCACAGAAAATTGGTAATGTAATATTCACTAAAAAAAAAAAAAAAATCTTACAATACAAAATATTGTTCAGCTTTAAATAATCCACAAAGGGTTGATAAGCCGTAAAAAAACAAATCAGTCAGCTGTGATATGTAATGATATATTTATTGCAGCATATCTTAATTCATCAAGAAAAAAACGTGTACATTATAACACCTCCAATCAATTAAGATCAGAAGCCATGAGAGCCATATTGGTGTGGCATCAGGACTATTATTATTATTATTATTATTAACAACATTGTTTTCCAAAATATAATCGGAGGCAAAATGGCACCCATAGCCGACGGGATTCACCTGTTTTTCTTAATACATTCACCTCGTTTCACATTGTGTCCTGGGTATGACGATAAACTACATCCGACAGCAAGACCTCTGATCAAGAGGTTTTGAGGAGCATGGAACCACCTCTTAATTGCTGGTGTTTTCAGGTCCACCCTGAACCGGGGTGATAGCACCTGTTAGGGTCTCAGCTATGGGAAAATAGTTAACCCCCTCCAAAATGGGGAAAAATCGTGTAAAAATAGGTTTTATTACCTGCAATACATTTTTGTAAAAAATTATTACCAGAAATGAATTTTTGAAAAAAAAACTATCATCAGCAATGCATTATTACCTGCAATACTTTCGGAAAAATTTTTTTACCGGCAATACATTTTGAAAAAGATATATTACCAAGAATAAAAATCTTTTCGGCATTAAATAACCCATTGAGGTTGATAATGCCGTAAAACAAACCAAACATCAAGAATCAATGTACACAACAAGGAATAAATATGTTGATAGCGGTAAATCTGAAAAAAATTAAGAATTATATTCCAATTTTGGTGCAAACAGCACATTCTTAAATGCCTTGGCATAGTGGAAGAATCAATGGTCGAGTGAAACAAGGAGTTCTAAGTGAAAAATTCCTTGTAACACAGGTCGAACACCTTCACATACATACACACACACAGAGACAAAAACTAATTGGAAAAGCGTGGAGAAATCATTCAGATTTAAAGACGTGCTCTCAACTTGAGCTGAGGTTGTGGTTGAGTGAAATATTCATATAGAATTTTCGAATCGTGCAAGACTCTGTAAATTTGTGTGGTTTAGCAGTAACTAGATGAGAAGCCATTGTATGCCATGCAGAAATGGTAAGAGCGATATAGTTGTGGGAGTCAGGGGATGTTTACAGCAATTCGGAATACCAAGTTATGTCCAAGTTGCAATCGATTTATGAGTTTGTGAAACAGTCGAGGAATAAGGATTGAAACATTAGGAAGAAGCGAATGAGCGCAAATAACGGAACTGGTGAATCGAGTTCAAATCCTGGTAACGGCAGGTTATTTTATTTTTTGCTATGATTTTTAAGCATTTCTTTCTTTCTTTCTATACTTGTTTGTCACAAGGACATTAATCACCTCTATACTTACTTCTCAGTTCCAATCGAGTAATTGATACTATATCTATTGTTAGTAATGACAAAGAGCAGGGTGACCAACAATTTGGGAGCCAAAAAATTCCCTGACTTTTCCAGGATTCCCCTGACCAAATTTCCTTCTTCTTAATCACCTTAACTCTTCAAAATATTTGACAACCACAGCATTATTTTATGCATATTTTCTGGAAACTGACAACAGCTTTCAATCTATGTAAAATTCTGACTGACAAACTGAAAGACACACAGATATAAGACACAAAAACATATAAAAGATAGACAGACTGGCAATGTTGTAATCTCTTCATACAATCTTAAAAAGTGTCCACCGTTTCTAGCCCACCTTATATGACCCAAAATAAATTAGCAACTTATTTGACAATTGGAAATATACAGACCGCTTATATTTACCTTCAATATACAATGGGTTACAAATAATAACACAGTAAAACCAGCATTATAACACAGAATGTTAGGAAATATAAGAAAAAAACACTATTAAGGAGAGAGATAAATAAAAAAAAAACAGGATTTAAGTCAGAAGATAACGATTGACATTACATTTAAATTTTTGAAGATCAGAGATGACTAAAATGACAGAACTCGGAAGAGTTCTACAAGTGAGAAATGCGATAGAAGGAACTATTAGCATAGAACTTACGGTTACATCTAGCTATTTCAATAGTAAAATGATGAGACCTTACAGCCAATCTAGTACTGCGCTTAAATTCATAAAGTCTAGGTACAATAGAAGAAAATTCACCAGAACAATTAACATAAAAATATTTACATTTATCTAAAGAGCACATATAAAATGTATTAAACATATATTAAACATGTATTATCTAAAGAACACATATAATAATTTCCATAATAAGTGGGGATATTTAAGGGTTTTAGAGCAAGAGTCGGTTACCTCAAGCACGCCAAGCAATTTCCAATGGCACGCAGCCGCAAATGACATCACAAAGTCCGAACCAATAACTACTACAACACAAAGAAGATATTTAGCTGTTTCAATTTTAATATATAATAAAGTATATATACTATATATTACTATATAAAATATATTGTAGAACAGGTATATTGACCTTGACTTGTATAAAAAAAAATACGCATGCTGTTGGCACACTGAATGATTTTAAAACCATAAGTCGGCATATACTTAGCAAAAGGTTGCCGATTTCTGATCTAAGAACCACATATAAAAATGAATTTCCATAATTTGTTTTCTAATGACGGTAACTTGTTTCCAGTGAAAGACACAAAATAGAGTTGCACTGGTGATGACGAGTGGCAGTGTCTTCATAGAAGATAAACAGGAAAAAGCTAAAGGTTAAGAAGTTCAATTCAATTGCAAACATGCTAAAATATTGCAGTTGATCTTTTCATGAAAAAATAGATACTTTAAGAATATTATTTTTATTTTCAGATTCAAAACCATTTTTGTCACCAGAAGAGGCCACTACATAGAGTTCGCTATTTCTGACATCTCTATCATAATTCAAGAGTTATATTTATGAACCTATGAATTGGTATCTAATCTTTCATCCGACCATTATCCGTGGAAATTGTTTCACTGCCTCATGAATAGATCCAGAAGGCGAATACTTTGAGAATATTAATACAAACAGATATATGTGCGTGTTTTTGCATATACTCACGAATATACACATGGACACGTTTGTGTACACATATTTTTCCTCTCTCACATACGCCTACACCTACACATATATACGCACAAAATGACCGGCCAGTTATCATAGTATGAAGTTTAGCAAGCTTATTTCCAAAACCCTTCGCTAATTTACAGAAATCGATCCCAACTGTGATAAAAAAGAAAGAAGAAATGGTAGGATGTGAAGATTATGAAGATAAAAATGATAGATAACATAGATCTTTGAAGAGGTTAAAATTATATATGCTGAGAAAATGTCCATGCCGGTTTCTCTTGCATAATGTCGACAATTCTGTTTACATTTGGAAGACAGAGAAAATGAGGATGATGACGTGCCCCATGTGTAAAGGTCCGAATTGGTGGAACTAAAGAATAATCAGAATATTTGCCAGTGGGAATAAAAACAGAGACGCAATCAGTTTACAATTTGCGCCTCAAGTAAAGTCTTTTTTAGAAAGATGGAAGTACAAAGGCTGTAAACGGGAACACATTGAAGAAACCTCTGATGGCCGAAGAACTGAAATTAACGTTGCATGATTTCTAATTTCAGATACGTGCTTCTTCTCACGATTTTAAGGGCAAGCGTCAATGTTTACAAATCTAGAACGGGTAACTGAATGGTAAAACGGAAATAAAAATCTTATGTAACGCGCTTTTGTCCTACAAAAATGTTAATTTTAATATTTTTATTGGTGGTATCAGAAATATATTTCAGAGAACGGCTCGAAAATATGAACAAAACGTCGAGAGAAATGCTGAAAGGACGCTTAACTCGCAATTTAAAAATTCAGGCGGCTTACACTTACGTTCGTTTGAAACACTGGTTCCGTACGACCAGCGAAATTAAGCAACGTCAGGCTTGTTCAGTATCTAGATGAGTGACGTCTTGGGAATACCAGGTGCTGTAGATTTGGATGTTCAGGTAGTATAAAGGGCTTACGGTCACATCACGTTGAAACCCCAGTTCCCGAACCAAGACAGAAGTTAAGCAATATCGCGCCTGGTCAGTACCGAGATGGGTGGCCGCTTGAGTATACCAAGTGCTGTAAGCTTGGATGTTCGGGTGGTCTAAGAGAAAATGTCTCGGAATTGGAGGTCGGAAAACCGAGTTCCAATTCCAGTTGGGTTTGTTATCTTCCCTCAGGCACAAATACCCTTGAGAAAGATATGAATCAACCCATTTCCTTCCCCACCCCAAGTTATGAGTTCATTAGCAGGAACTAAATTATTATTACCCCACAGAAATTCTTACAATTTAAAAATATTTTGGGGATTTCAAAAATCTTGCAATGGGTGTATATACCGTAAAAAACAAATCAAGAATTCATGATATTTCTGGCGGCAGATGAGCTTTGATAATCCTGGTCTATCTTATTCAATATGGAATCGCTTTTGTTTTTTGTTTTTTTTAAATATCCCGCGTTGTAAAAGAAGTAGTTTTGTTAAGATGAAATGCTGTATGAACTTGGGTGTAAATTTACCGTGGAAGATTCAGAAATTAGTGCACTTTTTATACATTTTCTCTTTTACTAATCAACTGCATTAAGTTGCACTTATAGTCATTACCCACCATGATTGTGATATATAAAATTTCTATATCATATTCTCTCATAATCTAGAATACCAAAATTACACTTAATTCATAGATTTTAGTCTTTAAATTTCTTTTATGTCTAGCAAATCGATTTGTTCCATCTTCCCTCTTTCTCTATTTAAATCCAGGCTCTGTCATGTGACCGTATCCCTTGACGTCATTCTCTCATATTTGTTTCTTCCTTAAGGCTACGTCACTCATCTGAAGCTGAGGTGTCATTTCATGACCAATAATATTGCGGATCTTTCTTTGGATTTTATCAAGAATCTAACAGGAGCGCCGGCAAGATATGGCATCAGTATTCAAAGCAAAGACGAATGGTCTAGCACAGTACAATGAACCAACTTTCGTAGCAGCAGATCTAGCAATTGATTCAATATAATCTTTTCATCTTCATGGTAATAGAAAACGTTACCTAAGAATGAGTAATGCTCGGGTACAAATATTTAAAGCCCAGGATGTCCATCATAACACCCAGTCTGACAAGAGTATACCAGACACGTGCAATACGGTTCAATGTGCGTGTGATATGGTAACAAATTTTGGTAACTAGTGCATAACCTGGCAAGTTGGACTGGTTTAGGTCGAGTAACCTAGTCCTTTCAGGCATTCTCCGATTGATGGTGTTTCTAAGTATCTCGATATGATAATCTGTTTTGGCTACCTCATCCTTTAAACTAAAAAAAAAATGAATCTGAACGATGACACGCCCCTATTACTCCCGCTCATGAACTGATACACAGTCAGTCAACTCCTAAGGGACATACCTATACAATTAAGGTTCGGTAACTAAATCTATGGTACAAAACGGGATGTTTACTGAAACATATCTTAATTCACCAAGATAGGTATTTAGCACTTACAATCAATCATGATCTGAATCCATAAGAACTATTCCTTATGTTTTTATTATTATTATTAGTAGTAGTAGTAGTAGTAATAGTAGTAACTGTCTACATCTCTGAGATGTGGTATTATGATTATTTGCATTATTTACATTATTCGGACTGTTATCCTCATCTTCATTGCCATATTCACGACGTTTCGGCCGTTGTACGCTCCAGCCTTCTTCAGGTGATTGGAATTTCGAACAGAACTTTTTATTTCGTTCAAGATTCGGGAAGGTAGTTCTAATGTCACGTGCCATGCGTCTTCCGGATGTCTCAGTTGTTTTCCCTTTAACTCAACGCTCCAATAAAGACGTTGGTTAGATCCAGTGACTAAGACCCAAAGAGTTGTGAGTTCAATACCAGACCAAAGCAGTGGTGAGCCAAAACTTGGAGAGTTGAGTTGAAGAGAAATAACTGAGACATCCGCAAGAGGCACGGCACGTGGAACTAGAAAAATCTACCCCGGCGGACGAAATAAAGGTTTTGGTTCGAAATTCCAATCACCTAAAGAAGTCCGGAGCGTACAACGGCCGAAACGTTGTGAATATGGCACTGAAGATCAGGATAACAGTCCGAATAATGTAAATAATACAAGTATTATTATTATTATTATTATTATTATTATTAACACTGTTCTTCACATGATATAATCGGAGTCAAAATGACACTCACATCTTCCCATCGTTTTTTTCCAATTCATCTACATCCTAATTCGTACTATTTATTTCTTATATAACTTTTGATTTTGGATGTGTGGGTGGTGTAACAGTTGTTGATTTTGTGTGAGAAGTCGGTGATCTGAGTTCGAATTCAACTCGGATTCGTTACCTTTACTTTCGTGCAAATATCCCCGGAAAAGATAAGAATACATATTTTCTCACAACAGTCCACCAACCGACAGCTATGGCTTAAATCGGACTCTCTTTCCTTGAGGTAGCAACCACTCTAGGAGAAGGAAAGCCCTCAGTTCAAAATCAGCCTGAAGGAAAATGGGCTCCATCAGACTATCTTGCCCTAGACACACAGTTCCTGTTACAGCTGCACTACGGCCCTAATGGATTACGAGTTTCGAGACGTGATGAATTTCCGAGTTATCATTTTGTTGTCAACTATTATTGTTATTAATATTAAGGAAACATTCGATATTCATTGATTTTGTGGCACTGACTGTTCGATCTTTGAATGCCGACTATTATTATTATTAATATTTGCTACCACGGTTTTCACTAATTCCATTCACCTCACAACAGTGATTTAAACCTCGTTATTCCGATTCAATTTTATATATCTACTTCCATATCTGTCTATATTTCTGAGATGAGCCATTTTAACTATTTACATCGTTCGGACTGTTGCCCTCATATTTCTGTCATATTCCTGATGTTTCGTCCGTTGGACGCTCTGGCCTTCATCAGGATCTGTCTATATTTCTAAGATGAGGTATTGTAACTATTTACACTATTTACACCGTTCGGACTGTTGACCACATCTTTTTTGTCACATTCACGATGTTTCGTCCGTTGTACGCTCTGGCCTTCATCAGGATCTGTCTATATTTCTAAGGTGAGGTATTGTAACTATTTATACTATATACATCATTCGGACTGTTGTCCTCATCTCGGAGCTGTGAGTTCAATACCTGGCCGCAGCAGAGGTGAACAAAAAACTTGGAGATGAGACATCCGGAAGAGGCATGACACGTGGAACTAGAAAAATCTACCCCGGTGGACGAAATAAAGGGTTCAGTTCGAAATTCCAATCACCTGAAGAAAGCCGGAGTGTACAATGAACGAAACATCGTTCTACTTCTATCTTGATCATTTTCGGGTAGATCAATTTTTTTTTTTTGTGTGTGTGTGTGTGACAACTCAGCAATCAAAACTGAACGCATATTGATCCAGAAAATGACCTTTAACCTCCAAAAGTGAACCTCTGCTGTGACTAGATAACGCTGACATTAAATAGCCGCAAAATAAACAAAAACATGACGTTCTCCCCCTCCATCTGTTTTAATAATTCTCTTTCTTAAGGTAACGAGAGAAGATTCTGGGATTCCATTTAAGAGAAAACATATAAAAAGATTCTTAACACAAAAAAAAAGAATTAATTTTCCAAATTATTTTTCTTGAGTATCAACAAAGACGTTTTTTTTAATGCTGTTTTTTCCTTCAGCACATAGGCGACCATGGCTCTCCACACATTCCTTTCTTTTATTTTCTTTGAATTGTCATGATTCGAGAGATAGATGGTAGAGGTCCTATAGATCGATTTAACCTGATGACTATTTTCAGGCGAAACTACTGAGTCTGTCAGTCAGATAAATCAGTTAAACTTTTCTTGAATATTATTAACTCTAGTTGAGCGCTTTTATGGCAGAATCTGCTACCTTGAAAAATACGATGATTTCTCATAATTTTCAGTTTTATCATTATTATTATTATATTATTATTACTACTACTACTACTATATAAAAAGAAAGACAAAGAGATGAATGTAAAAGAACTGAAAATAAATTTTTAAATTTCAAAATTCGTTTCCTTTATTTTGAAACGTCAAGTGAGGAAAATAAACTTCAATTGATTGTCTTTGATATTTTTTTCTTTGCTTTATTTTTGTATTTTCTCTGTTAAAAAATAAAATGGGACGAGTCACTTCCGGTCAGACTGTGAAAAAGAAATTCTTCAATCCGACATTTCCATAACCCCGTTGTTAAATCCTTGTCATCATACTTTGGCAATGTTGAACCTGAAAATTCTCTCAAGTAATAATGAGATTTTGGCGCTGAGATCTGGGAACAACAGTGGCATAGCAAGAGTGTGTACCGCCTGGGACAGTCCTTGAGTTCTCTCCGGTCCCCTCAAAAATATATATTGCACAGTGACTCACTCTTAAAGTTATAAAACAATTTTGTTCACCATTAAAATATTTCTTTCATGTACTCAAATATAGCATATTTTAAATACATTAGACCTTAAAATGAAAAAGCAAAAACAACATATAGGGGGAAAAAGTGTCAAAAATCAGGACCAACTTTATTTCTGAAATGAAAATTATAACTTTCTACAGAGTAATTTTCTTGCTTTTTTTCTTAGCAAATTCTTCAATGACATCGCCAAAAACTATTTGATATGTCAATTGTCGTTCTGTAGACAGTAGACAGGCCATTATATATGTCATAGTTTAAGTTATTCGAAATCAAACAGATCCTTCAACTATGAGTACTGTCCCGACATTAAAACTACCTTTATTCCAATACAGCCTATAGGCTTATAGCCTACAGCAGACACAAAAGTATCACCCGCCCTAGATACGCCACTGGTGAAAAGTGCTATTTCTACTGAGAAAATAAGACAATGGTCGATAATTAACCTTTATCACTCTATGTGAGAGATCATATGTTGTACAAAAAGTTTATCCTGCTACTAAAGGTGACTCTGATCCTTGTGTTTGAATATCATAGTTGTGTTGTCATATCCTGCTAGGGCAACAGAAAACAACTTTGAATGAAATTAACAATGAGGTTACTGAAATAGAGAGGCATAGAAAAAGAATACAAAAGAAAAAGTTGAAAGGGAAATGATATTAATAATGCACAGGGCTAAAGGTTAAGGAACACTTAATAAAACAGATACATGAGAAAGATTTTAAAAAAAAAAACTGTTCGTGCGAATAGTTGAAATGGCATCGCAATGGAAACCATACCCTGCCCGTCCCAATTATTTGAGGATCTGGAATTTGAACCTTTGGGTGAATAGCCACAAGCTCCAAAATTTCGGATGATTATCGACATGCAAGTTTTATAATGTCTATACAACAATTTTAAGATGACACGGGTGAAAATAACGCCATTAATTCTCAGTCATCAATATTCCATTAACAGTGCTCGTAGTTCTGTTACCATTTTGATGTTTCTTAGATAGATAGATAGATAGATAGATAGATAGATAGATAGATAGATAGATAGATAGATAGATAATAAACTGATTACATAGATAAATAGAAATGAACAGAATGATATAGATATGAACAGAATTAGATAGATAGATATGGATAGAATTAATTGATATATATATATATATATATATATATATATATATATATATATATATATATATGAATGAAGAAATATAGTCTTAAGATGTGCTATATTTATGGGATAAAGTGCTCAATATCAGAGATAGAGCGTGTGTAAATATAAAAGTGAACATAGAAGTCAACACTTAGGGCGACAGTCTGTTTCATGCTATATGAAATCGCCGGGCCTGGCGATTGCATATAACGTATTGACTTATGTTCACTTTATATATATATATATATATATATATATATATGAACAAAATTAGATATGAATAGAATGAGATAGATACGAAAGACTGCGATACATAGATAAAAGCAGAATGAGATATATTTATACATAGATATGAACAGAATTAGATAGATAGATAGATAGATAGATAGATAGATAGATAGATAGGAACAAACTGAGATGAATAGTATTAGATATGAACAGAAAGAGATATATGGAATGAGTATATAATAGAAAAGGTAGAATTTTTTTTTGCAAAATTAAAGCCAAAGAAATGATTATAACAGGCACGACCAAATATAGACGCACCATGTTAAAATCAAATTTTATATATTTTAGATTAAGTTTTGAATGAATATATATATCCATATACTTACTCATTGGTTGAGATTAATTTATTATTAATAATTGTTCCTTTTGAAAGTCACTCATCGTTGGTGAAGATGGCCTCTGCGGGAAGAAAAAAAGAATACAAGTTAATAATATATAAAAAGCCAATATAATAAATCATTTTTATTTTATTAATATACATACATATATATGTATATATACACACACACACACAAGTATAGGATTGGTGTATACGGAATAAATTCCAATAACTAACAATTACTATTCTTAAAAGAGTGCTCAATACATAGTAGAGCAGATATAATTATTTATTTAAAAATTATAACATAAATATGTTATAAAATCACTACAAAAATTGCCATTTTGTTTCAACACTTCTGGTGTCCTATCAAGTGATGATGTTGAATGTCAACATCATCACTTGATAAGACACTGGAGGTGTTGAAACAAAATGGCAATTTTTGTAGTGATTTTATAACATATTTATGTTATATATATATACATATATATATATTGGTTTGTTTTCTTCTCTTCTTCCAAAAAACCACGATTTTCGCACTGAAACCAAGTAGCGTCTGTCCCCCTCTTTCCACGCGATCAAAACCGAATAGTATTGGCAGGGCGTAATGGTCGTACAAACTAATGAAGTGGGAACAGACCCAATTATAACAGGATATTTACAATGACTCACCCCAGAGTTGCCACATTTTGTTTGTTAATACGATGGGATCCTGAAAAGTTTTTGATGCGACCTACTTACCCAAATCAACATTTTTTTATATATTTCTTCACAGAAATAATGATTTTGGGAAGAAGACTGACCTGAGAATATTTCAGCGCACGCTCTTTACGAATCTGGCTATTGCTTGAAAAATAATCACTTACATAGTAAAAGGAATAAGCATTTTAACAGTAACGATTTAAATGTCTAGTAAAAACGTGCGATAATTTCCATCAAGAAGCAAAATATATGCCCAAATTCTTATATTCTATAACACTCAGTAACCCTTTGCGTCTTAGTCACTTTATTGCCATGCTTAGTGTGAAATGTTTAATAACAATATCAACTCTTTATTTCCTGAAAATTTCGAACCTTTCAAAAAATAATTAAAAGAAATCAAATTCTCTTTTCAAGTTTTTTTTTTTTTTTAACTCCGTAAATGTTTAATTCACTTTTCAAAAACCCTATTAAATGCTGCCTATGTTTTGGGGGACATTAGATAGATACACACATAGAATATATGTTATATTCTGTAAATATATGAATCTATATATTTGTTTTGCCTAGCCCATCACAAAACTAAATAGCAGAACAGAATGATTGTCTCGTACTAAGTGGAAAGAGTTTTTCTAGCAAGAAAGAGAGATAGAGTTCATAAAAATAATTATTGGGCCATCTTAACTTATCTCCCTTGGAAGAGGGTTTTTTTTTTATTATTCAATAAAAGTAAAACCAACAATAGAACCATATGTTGAGGCTTACATACCATATTCTGAAGGCGCCAGAGAGTATTCGATTGGATCCCGTGCACACACACACACACACACACACACACACACAGACGCACACTATACATACATATGTGCATACGCTACAGGAGGTTTTCAAAAGTATGAAAAATGTATTCTCGGCACTACCAGAAGATTAAACAAAAAATAAGATTTTTAAATAAGATCAAGGAACAAAAAATCATCAATTATAGAAAGCAAATAAAAATGATATACGTAAAAATTAAAATTACATAAAGACATTCAGGACCCGTGTAAAAGTCGAATCTTTGGAAAAAAAATAAAAGAATAAAAGAATTTTCCATAAATCTTCTTGTAAAGTCGATCTGGTTTTTAAGACTCCTCTACGGTCTGCATATCAGGGCTCATACTTGTAGCAAGACCCCTTTTTTAATATATATATATCGAACGGCATCAGAAAATTACTTTCCTCGTCACAAAGGCTAATGCATTTTTAGCTTATATTTTTTTTTTTTCATTTCTTCCAATACTCATAGCACGCTTTGGTTGTGTCACTTGAAGAGAGTAGATAGATAGATAGATAGATAAATAGGAACAGAATGAGATAGATAGATAGATAGATAGAAATGACCAACCATATATAAAAAGATAGATAGATAGATAGATAGATAGAGAGAGAAAGAAATAGATAGATAGATAGATAGATAGATAGATAGATAGATAGAAATGAACAGCCTTAGATGAATAGATGGATAGAAATGAACAGCCTTAGATAGATAGAGAGAAATTAACAGCCATAGATAGATAGATAGATAGATAGATAGATAGATAGATAGATAGATAGATAGATAGAAATGAACAGCCTTAGCTAGATATATATATAGATAAAAATGAACAGCCTTAGCTAGATAGAAATGAACAGATGATAGATAGATAGATATATAGATATAGAAATGAATAACCTTAGATAGATAGATATAGAGAAATGAACAGCCTTAGATAGAGAGATATAGAAATGAACAGATTAGATAGATGGATATATATAGATATATAGATGGATGAAATGAACCTTGGAGAGATATATATGGATGGAAAAGAACAACCTTGAATGGATGGATGGATAGATGGATAGATAGATAGATGAGAAATGAATAGCCTTAGATGGAAATATATAGAAATGAACAGGATTAGATAGATGGATGGATGAACATGGATTAGATAGATGGAAATGAACAGCCTTAGATAGATAGATAGATGGATAGATTAGATAGAAAGAAATGAACAGCCTTAGATAGATAGATAGATAGATAGATAGATAGAAATGAACAGCCTTAGATAGATGAGGATAGAAATGAAAAAGGATAGATAGATAGATGGATGGAATGAATGGAAATAGATGAATGGATAGATAGATGATGAAAGGATGAAATGAACAGCCTTAGATAGATAGATAGATAGATAGATAGATAGATAGATAGATGGATAGATAATGAACAGCCTTAGATAGATAGATAGAAATGAAAAGATTAGATAGATAGATAGATGAAATGAACAGCCTTAGATAGATAGATAGATAGAAAAGAAATGAACAGCCTTAGATAGATAGATAGATAGATAGATAGATAGAAATGAACAATAGATAGATAGATGGATGGATGGATGAATGGATAGATAGATATGATAGAAATGAACCAGATTAGATAGATAGAAATGAAACTGAACTTTTTAGATATAGATAGAAATGAACAGCCTTAGATAGATAGATAGATAGATAGATAGATAGATAGATAGATAGATGAAATGAAACATAGATAGATAGATAGATACATAGATACATAGATAGATAGATAAAATGAACAGATTTAGGTAGAAATATAAAATGAACAGACTTAGATTTATGGATAGATAGACAAATAGAAATGAACGGACTTAGATATGAACAGATATATGTGCAAATATATATATATATATATATATATATATATATATATATATATATATATATATAGTGAGAGCGAGTGGTGGGGATAGACATAGAATGATAGACAGATAAAGAAAGAGAGAGAGAGAGATGGATAGTCAAAACCAAGATAAGCATTAAGGAATATAGACTATGTTCTGGCCCATCATCTTTTCCAAAGGCAAGTCTTGAAATGCTCGTTTACACACACACGAACCCACACACACATGATAATCAGTCCAGCAACAGTGTTTTACGCATGCAGTCGTGTGCGTGTGTTAGTAGTCCACATACGAGAAGGCATGGACAGAGTCAGTGCGTGCGTGACACAAATTCGTGCATAAAAAATGTATGTGTGCGCGCGCAGGCACACGCTAGTAACTTTTATCTCACAATCTTTACTAGCCTTTTATACATACATACATTATATATATATATATATATATATATATATATATATATATATATATATATAATCGCTGAGTATAGATTAATTTTATATGACGACTGCATATTTATTAATTTCTATAATAATCGTTAAAATGCATGCGGCAAAGTGAGGTCACAAACACATACGTATTAATGGAGTCCCTGAAAAACCTTAAGCTAGGAAGTTTCGAAGCTCGAACAAACTTTTAAATGACTAAATTTATGTATTGTTAAAAGAAATGCCGAATATGATGGAGAAGGGGTCACGATTTTCAAAATTTATATTACGAACGCATACATACACGAACAAACTTTGCGTAAATGATTTTTAAAGAAATATAACCTTTATTGCATACACGCGGGCAAACACAGATAAGAATGGTGTTCTATACACTTCTTAGCCAGGTTTAAGATTGAAGGGATAGAAAAAAGAAAACAGACAGAAAGTTAGAGAAACAGATAGATAAGTGGTGTAGATATTTAAAATATTTAGTCTTTTTGCAGCCTCGTTATTAAAAAAAAAAAATCATTTTGTTCTTTTTTTTTTTTTTTTTTTTTTCCTCGGTTACTCACTCAATGATTTTGTCTTCCACCGGCATTTTCTTCTTTTCAGCGTTGCTTCTTTTAAAAATTACGAAGTTTAGTCTCTCGTCGGACACCGTCGCTTGTTGGTTAAATTTCTCTTGGTCTTCTTTTTTCCTGGGCTAATTTTAGGCGCGATTGCCCCAGGCGTCTCTCTCACGCTTTCCACCAGCGACCATTTTGATTCAGCGATCAGCTTAACTTTAAAATCCTAAACGGCGCCGACTTCATTTTTCCTTTCCCAAACACGAGACACCGGGTCCGCCATAATTGCCCGAAAAAAAAAAAATATACTGCCCACTTTTAACGTGGCGACTCACTATCTTCGTTAGCAGCTAACCACAGTGGATTACCCGGCAGTAATACCCCTTTTTCTTTTTTTTTTTTGTTAGTAGGCGGAGATACACCCGGGCACTGGTAGACGCTGAGCCAACAACGACCGGCCTAGCAGTTTGTGCTTGGTTCATCCCGCCAACCGGGTGGAGGCAGCGGGGAAGTAACAAGCAACGAAAGGGGGTTCGAATCCCGTGATCACCCAATCAACGAACTCACCGTAGCAATTTGTTCAAAAAGGAACGCTTTCATTGGCTGACGATCCCAAAGCAGGCAACGATGAACTCCTCCGTCAAATCCCTTCAAAAGATTTCTTTTTCCTTCTCTCCCTCTTTTTTTTTTTTTTTTTTTTTGTGCACCTGAAAATTCGCATTTCTTTTTTTTTTCTCCTCCCTATTTCTACTTGGCCTTTTTTTTTTAACATAACTATTTATTTAAGGAGGTTAGTTTTGACTTTGCCCCTTTCAGCTGATTTTCTACAGTCTCTCTTTTTTCCTTTTTCTTTTCTTTCTTTCTCAATAAATATGGTATCATTTCTTTTTTCTTTCGCCCATTTCTTCTTTGATTTTTTTTTTTTTTGTCATATTCATTTTTTCTAGGTTGTTATTCTATTTATCTCTCAATTTCTATCTCCTTCTATCTATTTATTTCTCTTTCTCCTTCCGTCTTCATATATATATATATATATATATATATATATATATATATATATATATATATATATATATATATATATATATGTATATATTTGTGTGTCTCTGTGCGTGGAAATGATGTGACCAAGAGGAAATGCTTTTAAAACGACGCGTTTCGTCGACATGACGTGTGTTCAGGTCGGAATGAAAGACAAAGGCTCCTGTGTCAGGAAAATGCATTGGTATTTTTAAGATAAGAGTTGGGGGTGGGGGGTGTATAAATTAAATTATCTTATCAGATCCGAAGACCAGAGTTGCACCATCCGGGTCTTTCTCTTTGCCTTTCTCTCTCTCCGTACGTAAATAATTTTATCCTTCTTTGTCTCTCTCTTTCATTCTCTCTTTCTCTCTCTCTTTCTCTCTCTCTCACACATATTATATATATATATATATATATATATATATATATATATATATATATCATTCTCCATCTATCTCTATTACTGTTGCATTCTGGGTTCTGACTCACTGAAAACCCTTAATTTTTTTTTTTTCGCATCGTTTCTGATTTTATATTTTAGTTTGTTTTTTTTTATATATTTTTCCGCTAATTTTAGCTATGATATTAACGTCAGGGCGCAAAAGATGATGCATCTGGAAATTCTATCAAAGATTTTCCGTAAAGAAGGAAAATGACAGGGAAAGACAAATGGAAAAAAATATGAGTATTTTTTCATAAAGCCCCGTTTCCATAAAATTCAACAAAATCAAAAATAAATAAAAACGTGAGTTTTTTTTTTTTATGGGTAAGCGAGACGTACTGTTAAAACGAAAAAAAAAAAGATATTAAAATCGCATTTTAACTTCTCTTACCTAAAATAAGCGACAACATATTAAAAAATTGCTCTCTGTAACGAAGGCAATATTTTTTAATAAGTTTTCTAGAGAGTGCAGGTCGGTAAACGTAATAAACATTATTTAAAATACAACGGACCTAGTAACGTTTGAAATAATACAAATATGTTGGATTAATAATAAAGGACATTAATATTTTAGAAATATATATATATATATATATATATATATATATGAATAAATATAATCTTAAGATGTGCTGTATTTATGGGATAAAGTGCTCAATATCAGAAAGAGCGTATGTAAATATAAAGTGAACATAGAAGTCAACACTTAGAGGCGACAGTCTGTTTCATGCTAGATGCAATCGTCAGGCCATTTTTATATATATATATATATATATATATATATATATATATATATATATATATATATATAGACGCATAGTATATATGTTATTGCAAATGTTATTTTAATAGATAGCCGGGTTTGTAAAAGACGGCCCCGTTTTTTAAACAGTATATTTATTTTAATACTAGAGACAAATACGGCCCCTCCAGCAGAATTCGAACCTAGGAGATATCGTTATTAGATCTGATGAGCTTTAGACATTAAGAAAGCAAATGTTGAATAGCGCCTTTAAACAAAGACTTTTCTCTGACTCTCGAAATTGATATATCTGCCTAACGTAAAAAAAGTAATTTCTAAAGAAAGGGATGGATTTTTTATTTTTTTAATCCGACAGATTTTATTATTACTTAAACGTTATTTTAGTAGACAGTCGTATTTGTGTGTGTGTGTGTGTGTGTGTGTGTGTGTGTGTGTGTGTGTGTGTGTGTGTGTGTGTGTGTGTGTGTGTGTGTTTGTCTGAGTTAACCACCTGATGAGGCCTCGGCGGTCGAAACAGTGGTAGTGTTTCATTCAGCATCTTAATCTTTTTAATATATATATATATATATATATATATATATATATAATTTATTCGAATTATAACATAAATATGTTATAAAATCACTACAAAAATAGACATTTATTTCAACATTTCTGGTGTTTTTATTAAGTGATGGTCTTGATATATATTTCGCTCCAAGTAAGGCAACATATATATATATATATATATATATATATATATATATATATATATATATATATATATATATATGAATATATATGCATATATTTATGATTAAAAAATGACAATAGGAAAACTGTCATTTTTATTCATAAATAATGTCTTATCTACTGGTTAAATCAGAGAAATTTTCATATATATATATATATATATATACACATATATATCTACATACATATATGCATACATATATATATATATATACATATATGTATGTATATATATATATATATATATATATATATGTATATATATATATATATATATATACATATATATATATATATATATATATATATATATATATCATTTCATATATTAGACTATATATATATATATATATATATATATATATATATATATATATATTTAGTACGTAAGGCAATAAAGCCACTAAGACACAAAGGGTTAATGAGTGTGTAAAAATAAGAAAATGAGAAACATTATTATGGAGCTAGAACAATGGAAGAGTAATGAAGAAGACAGTAGATAACGATTGACATTGCATTTAAATATTCAATGTTGATTGGAAAGTGTATGCAATCGGAAGAGCGTTTCACAAGTGACATGTGCGAGAAAAGTAACTGTTAGCATTGAACTTACAAGCAGACCCCTATCTTGTGATGAAGACTGGATAGGTGAAGAAATACTTCGGGAAGCCGTCGTGGTTTGTGCTAGGACAAAAGTCAAAAATCACTGTGACTGAGGTTTTGAGAACACTGACGTTGTTCAAACTACTGGTCATGACAGATGGCGACCTCTCTGTCCGCTTAGCATACATCGACTATGTAGATCTTCTATAAACACTGATGTGACTGAGCAGTTGTCATTAACAGAGACTGACCAAACACCAGAGCGACCATTATGTTTGACGAGAAAGAGATATGTAAATACGCACATTTTCTTATGTT